TTTTCCAGGAATCATCTCTTCACTAATCATTTACAAATTATATTTCTCAACAATTGAGATGAGAATTATTGTTGATCTGCATGGCTCTGTACGTTGGTCAAGTATCATCTCCTCTGCACAGATACATGTGACTTTAGGAGATGCAAAAATTCAGTTATTAACATATTCGTATCTTCAAAAAAGCAGTAGTGAATCCCTATGGGCTCTGTATCGTCCGTTGCCAGAGTTACAGAGAACATGATAATTTTTTAAAGCTCACCAAAACCTTCTTCCCCGCTAGTGGGAAGGGTGGTTTGTCCTTTCGATGTTTAAAACTCTGCTCTTCCAAGCACCTCCAGATCCAAGGCTGTGGAAAATAGCCTGGATAGTCCTCTTTTAAACCTCAGCACTGTATCTCAGTGAAAATGTTTCTGACAGTGTTACTTGTCTTGAAGTGCTAAGTGTCCGTTCTCACCTCACCAATTAATAGTTAAAGTTTCTCAGACTTACTGAGATAACTGATTTTGAAATCTATTTGGAAAGCCATTTTTTTTTCCTATGCCGAGGTTCATCCAGGAACTTGTTTTTATTTCTCAACATAAAGCCTGGAAAACACATTTTTCACAAGAAAATGCTGGCATAACTCTAAATACAGAGTAACTCTTATGGCAACCATAATTTATACGTTAATTTCCAAAAAAATAAAAGTACTATTTCCATTGTAAAAAAGTAAAATGATGGATCACTGCTGATGTTCTCTGAGCAAAAACACAAAGCAATTATCCTCTGGTGCCATGGGAGATTTATAGGAAGGTCAGTTAGTTTGTCTAGGCTGCATCATTAAAATGTAATGACAGATCACAAAATAAGACAAAGGTTATAGTGTTGGGATGCTATTTTTGCAAACCATGGATAATGCTGTGGCATTCTTTTTAAGAAAAGATGTGTAATTTCCAGGACCACTGTTGGTGGCAAACCAAAACTCAAGAACACGAGAGGCTGTTTATTAGCCAGCAGTCAGGGATGAACACGTTGACTTTGGCAGCAGTCACAGTCGCCAGTCATGAAGTCTTAAGATCTTTAACCCCATCCAGTGCGTAACTTACTGTTTGCATAAGGTAAAATGTTCATGCCATGTTCTTAATACGTAATGCCATTAATCAAAGATGTCTCTTCAATCATCTCTTAAAAGAAGAAAGAAAGAAAGAAAGAAAGAAAGAAAGAAAGAAAGAAAGAAAGAAAGAACACCCTCTTCTTTGGCTTGTAATTCTAAAATTTGGTTATTGTGTTAAATGGAAAGATTTAACAACTAGCTGCTAGGAAGTCTGTGGCACTTTGTGTCAGGACAAATATTATTTAGTTGGACTAATAGCAATGTGTCAAGATATTAACATGCTTTAGAAAGTACTCTCTGACTGGCAGTCAGAAAAAGGTGTCCTTCCCCTGAAATGCATTACTGTCTTTTTTATTAGGCAATTTTGACATGAAACCTCCCACTGATCCTATTATTTCTTACTTGTTTCAAAGATGGGAACCTCTGGTAGATACTGGAGACAGGGAATGTTCCTGCTCAAGGATTGGTAAGCAGCTATGCAAGCTTTTTTTTCTTATGTGCCGAAGGTAAGAAGCAATCTCTTATTCAAGAAAATGGCTTTATCCATAGTTATTGGAATGCTCATATTAATAAACCAAACAAAATCTGGCCCTAAGCAGAAAATACTTGTGAGGGGCAGAGTTACGGAGGGTGAGAAATACTACTGACACCCTGTGTTTTAGCAGAATGATTGATTAGTGGTTGATTAGCGGCTGTTCAGCGTGGGCTTTGCTTGATAGAAAGAAAACATTTGTGATGCCTCTGTGGTCCTATTAAGACTAATTAATTCCATCTCCAAATGGAATGAAGACTAATTAGATGCTAATATTAATTTCCTATTTGTCTAGAAGCACTAATTTTCATATCACCCTGTTGCAGCCTACATTTTTATGTTTGTGCTTGCTGCATGTCAGAGTATTTGTCTAAGAGGGTGGCAAGATGATATAAGACAACCATAAATGTAATCTATTAAAGCATCCTGGAGGGCCTAGTGCAAGAGGAGTACATCTCCAGTGTCAGCAGTGGTAGCTGGGCCACGAGCTAGATGCAGAATTAGACACGAACTGTTTCTGCATAAACTCTGACCGCAGGACAGAGCTTCGTATTAGGAACACAGCTTTCGATGATGAACCTCTGTGTGTCAGACAGATCCTGCTCAGGTGTTTTTCAGTATATCTAATTACATGAAGAACTTCTCTGTTGAAGATAAACTAGTGGTTTACCTGAGCAGGGCTTGGACCAGACCAGCTCCAGAGGTCCTGCCAGCCTCAGCCGTTCTGCGGTCTGTGATCATCAATGTTTCCTGTGACCTGGGGAACCATCTTTGTTCAGCTTTTGCGTAAATATTCTGGCCATGTCTAAAATTATTGTTAATATTTCTGATCTCTTTTTTTTCCTCTGGCCTCTGCTACTAAGTTCCCTCATCTGATGTAACCCTACTCTCTATCTTCAGGTAGCCATACCTCCTTGACACCCGCAGTTAACCTTCTGCAGTGTATGCAGAAGTTTCTTGTCTTCACAGCCAAGATCCTCTGTAATTCTGTCCTAACTGTTCCTCGCTCATCGTTGCTCCCTTTGCTCCCCCTGACTGCTTTACCAGCTTTAACGCACAGTTAATGGGCTGCTTCATAATTATCTATCTTATTCTGTGCCCCCTTCTGATGCAGCAAATACTTCATTGTATTTGAGTTGATGGTGAAGTTTGTGACCACTGTTTATTTTCTGTAGGTCTAAATCCTACTGCCACCCCTGTAATAAATGAACTGAATCACAGCAGAACAGCTGAATGGAAAAGGTGCGAAAGTTGATTGAAACCCCCTTTCATTTTTGAACCAAGCACCTTAACTAAGATTTCTCTGTGAGAAGAGTACTGTCAGCACACTAGTGTCAGCTGCAGGAGAGGGACGATTTGAAGTCAGTGAGAATGTATAAGAAAATAGGGTATTTTTTTCCATGTTTTCTCATTTTCTTCCAACTTTAATAATCAAAAAGGACAGAAAATGCTGCAGTTTCTAAACAAACTTTTCAAAGATCTTTTGAAAGTGAACTCATTACAATTACATTGAAACTGTTTCCCATGGAAACAAATGTACATGAAAATTGGTTTCAGGTTGTAAGAAGCTATAGGAGCCCTTCTGACTGTGGAAGCGTTCAGGCGTCGTCTCGAGCACTGCAGGTGGAGCGGCACCGCGGCTCCCACACCCGACCTGGAGAGGAAAATCTGCCCTTTCTTTTCAGCGCTTGCTTGTGAGTAGCTCAAAGAAAGCATGGCTCAATGGCTTGGCTTTCCAGGGTGTTCCCATATGTTCCCTCATTCCTAGTGTGCTGTGTATTTTTCATCATAAAAAAGCCAAGGTTATTTGTTTGTTCTGTGACGGAAATGTGAGCACTGGCCCAGAACTCGCCGAAGACCACCGTCCCCGAAAACGTTTTGAGCGTGGTAATTCGAAGGGTGACCGCAGACTCCCCCGCGCCCCTGCCGTGCATGATGGTAACGTGACCTGTGACTACCCTTGCACTGGCTATTAGTGTATTAAATGGGTGTGTTTCCCTTTTTTTCTTTTTTTCCCAGTGGAGACACTGTAGCTATCTTTACAAATTGGTGTCTGCAGAGTTAATTTAAAGATGCAAACCAATGTTTCTTTGGTAAAATAGTCTAAAAGGCTCCCCAGTACTGCTCAGAGTCCACATAATGATGGCTTCGTTAATTTACAAATCAGGGCTCAGATTACATATCTGCCTAAGCCTGTCCCTCACGTACCATCACATCATAATACATGGATGCAAAATGAAATTAAATTTCAGACTATAAAATATGTTATTTTTTGTTAAGATTGAATTTCTAGCACAGTAATTCTGAAGTGATCGCTTCATGATAAGTGACTTGGATTGAGGATGATAAAGCCAGTTATCAGATGGTGAAACTGAGTTTAACTTTTTATTTTCTAAGATTTTCCAGGCATTCTTTACATTGTATTTTTCTTTGACGTTACTTACATTTTGATGACTTTATTTTGCAGCGCAGTGACGTACTCTACATAGCCTCAGATTCTTAGGAGATAAAATACTTCTGTTGCTTTTAATTAAATACTAGCACTTTTGCCAATTTCTCATGATTTAATGCATCTATTACCATTAACATGTGATTAACCTAGGTCAACACATGCATGAAAGAGAAAATCTGAGTCTTAAACGCAAGCATTTCTGCTTTCACATGATACCTTACTTTTTTAACAGACTAATGAGCAAAAGCTGTACATTACTAAAAAACAGTAATGGAACTCCTTACCCTTCCTGTCTCTCAGGATTTCCAAAGCATTTGATTTCAAAGAGCAAACCTGTATATACATTTATTCACTTTTCCCACAGGATTAGTGGTAAAGAACAGGATGGAGGTGGAAGGAAGGATGAGGATCGCAGACTGAGGGTCACAGATCGGGTTTAAGATTGAGCGCTGCAGAAGCTGAAGCTCACAGAGGCCAAATTTATACTGTAAAAGGCAATCACCTCCTGAACTTTTGAGAGAGGCATGTAAAAAAGCCTTTGATGATCCTTGCAGTGAATTCTCGGGCAGCTCATGCTGCTATTTGTAGAGTAACTCTTCTCTTCAGATGCAACCAACCCGAGATTAAATTAGGGCGTGTGAATCTGAACAGTCCTTCTACTCAGGAAATACAAAAAAAGATAAAATCCAGATTACCTTTGGGTCAAGGGCGAGTTAAGAGGGAGAGCGCAGTGTATAAAAATTACTTAACAGAAATACTGTTTTTTAAATACTACGCATTATTTTCAGTAACTGTGGCGGGGGGAGGGCTGCAGCGTCGCGTCTCGCGGCGGCTGCTGTCCCTGAGCAAGGACAGCTGAGGCGGATGCGGGGCCCTCGCCAGCGGCGCGCTCAGCGCTCCGGCCGCGCGAGGGGAAGGGAACACCACCCCGCGGGCGTAATTAAAAAAAAAAAAAGCAAACCAAGAAGCACTCAGGCCCGTCTCTCCCTGAACCTCCTCGTGGCTGAAACTGAGTCAGCTGTATGCTAAATATTATTTATTTGCCATTGCAAATAAGTGCATTGAGGCCATACACCACTTCATGCTTTTGTCCAGCTGACTAAGGAGCAGTCATGAGTGTAAGACTTGCCCATGTTCTTGCCACGACACGTGCCAGCGAAGCGACACAGGGCTCCTCCGGCATCATTTCCAGGAGCTAGCAGGCTGTGACTGGGAAAAGAAAGAAAGTGGACAGGACTCATGCTGTAGCCCTGCATTAGTGATCATATCCCCCCTCTCTACATGGGATGGATTTTGTTTTCTGAAGCTGCCGGCTGAGCAAAAGAACGGCAATTTCTGTGTTCACCTCCAGTTTTCCTGCTAGAAAGGGTGGTACGTGCTGCCATGGGGGACATCTCAGTCCCTCTTTTGTCCGGGGTTAGCGCTGCTCTCTCTGAAGTGGGGTTCACGTTGGACTCCGCAGTCTCTGTGTTACTGCAGCTGAACATCTGAATCAGACACTTCCTGAACTGGAACGATGAAACAAAGGAGATCAGTCAAAACACATAAGCGTTTTTAAATGTCTCTATGAAGCAGTCTGTGAAATTATCTTGGGAATGCTCTCCGAAAGTCTCTCATGAGTCAGTTGGGAATATACAGAAATAGCCTAATGGAAAGGATGGCCTGGGCCACCGTGAGGAGCTCTCAGACTGAGAAACAATGATGTTCTAAAAAGACCCAGACTACTGGAAAGCCTTACTCTAAAAAATTGTTTTCCTCTTATGCTTATTACTAGCCAGACCCAACAATTTCAAGACAGAACTAGATTTCAGATTGCTTGGTCATTTCTCCAGATTCATGAGCTGCTTTCATATGCTACCGCCCAAATAGTTCAAAATGGTTTATTTCTATCTTGTTCATATCCATTGAGCAGGGTGAGACCAGCATACACCTGTCCTGCACTGGGAAGTCAGGGTATGGTCCAGAGGATGTGAGGTGAACCACTGCTCTCTCTGCAAGACTAAACAAATAAATATATTCATTGCTTTGCATTCAACCTTCACGTCAATATTTTTCTTCTTTCCATTTGCACCCCTATGCTCTGCTTGATGCTACCATTCCCAGTAGCTACATTTATCACATACATCTTCTTTTCACGTTTATTATCATGCCCATTACCACAGTGAATACTTATCACTCTGTTTCGTCCCCTTGTCCACTCTCCTCCTTTGCATCCAAAACAGCTCAGTCTCATGGAGACGTGCAATGGTTCAGCCCTCTCTGTACACAAAACCATAAATGCAGCATTTCCCTGACACAAATTCAAACTGTTGACACCTTCCACCCCACCTCAAAACCAATGCACTGGTGATGCATTCCTCAAGAATTCTAGAAATGTAGTGGGACAGTCCTGAAAATAGGATTTTCTTGCAGAAATCAGAACAACATGCTCAGTAAGGGCTGATTTACCTTGCTGATATCTGAACCTAATAATTATTAGGACTCATATTTTAATAGTGCTCAGAAGCTTATGCTGCATTCCAATAAGTAGATATGTGGTGATTTTTCACCTCTAGATGCTGAGTATTGTAAGGCTACTTAACTAACCTGCAGGTAGATAGGAATAATTAATTGAAGAGCAAGACAAATAAAATAACAATATGAGTGACACGTTTTGAGAGTATACAGTACCTGTTTGTTCATAAAGACATAAATAATTGGGTTATAAACAGTAGCTGTTTTGGAGAAGAAAGCTGGAATTGCTGCCAGCCGAGGATCCAGCTCAACGGAAGGGCACGCGGTGACTAGGATAGAAAAGGCGGCATATGGCGTCCAGCAGATTAGAAATGCAACGATCATAACAACAACCATTCTAGTCACTTGTCTTTCAGGTTTCCGGGTAGTTCCCAGCCTGCCTTGCGCATCTGACACCTTTAAAGAAAAGACAGAAGATTCCAGAAAGCAAACAACAAGGCCTTCGACCAGCGGAGCCGGTGGGAAGGCTAATGACCCACCGCGCCGAGGGAGAAACCAGCCCTTCCCCAGTGGGGCAGCCCATGAGGACACTGTTACTGGACCAAGGGTGTCAGTGCTTCTGCTGAGGGATGTGAACTCCTGTATATTGCCCTTGTTAGATTTTGATTTGTTTGCACAAAGTTTTTCTACTGTCACCAAAGCGACAGCAAAAGGCAACCACTAGTGCCTTCTCTGTGCAGAAACGTGATTGCCTTGCAGTCAGAGGCGCGACCAGGCCTGGTCAGACGCTC